ATTCCTTCCCGTCCTCCTCCTCCACCGTCTCCTCCTCCTCTTCCTCCTCCTCCTCCTCCTCCTCCTCCGCCCTCCACCTCGTCCAACCACAACCTCCTCCTCCTCGTCCTGTTCTTCCCGTCCTCCCCTTCCTCCTCCTCCTCCCTCCCTATGCGCATCCCCGTCCCAATGACATCTGCCCCTCCCCCTCCCCTCATCCGTGCGCCTCGTTTTTCGCGCCCCACTACCACCGTTGTGTACACGAGTCTGGCCACACGTATGAGCTGAAGCGTTGATATTAATATAGCTATACATAGCTATACATAAGTTAAACATGCAAGTATACGTGCAACAATACACATCCATAAATTACTAAAAAAAACAGCTATACACATACATCTACATATATCTATCATTGTCCAAAGTCAATCCAGGACGAATATATATATATATATATATATATATATATACGACCGACCCTCTGGGCGTAGCTTGTTTAACGAATTGTGTTTCCTCTCTGCCCGAGCCCCTCCTTCCCATCGGTGGAAGGGTTTCCCCCTCCCCTTGCCCCCTCCCCAGGACTTGGACGGGGGGGGACGGAGCAGTCAGGGCGTCCAAGATAACTCATGTTGGCTCCAAGAGGACCCTTGCGAGCCAAAAGTGGCCTCCAAATTGTTCAACGTACTTCAAGATGGCTCAATATAGTTGCCGTCCGTACGTCCAAGACTGTTTCAACTGCCTTCCGAACCGCCCAGGGACGGCTCCCAGAAGCCAGCATGGCTCCAAAAACTAACGGAGCATCTGAGTTTTGCCTTCTCGCCTCTGCGCTTCCGATGGGCTCTTGGAGGCCTCAAAATGGCCCCACAATGACCCAAAAGAAACCAAGCATGAGTTCCAGAGGGCTCCGGGAGGGCCCCAAGAGCGCCGAAAAGCGCCCGAAGATCGGCCCAAGACAACCCCAAAACGCAGTTCTTGAGCCTCCGAAGGGACCAGGATCTGAATTCAGAACCCACCTCTATTTGAATTATCGGGGCCAATATGGATCCAAGAGGCCTCCTAGACCCCCCATCAGAAGCCCCCAGACGGCCCCGAAAGAGGACCAAGAAGCCCCCAAAGAGCCCCAATAGTGCCCCAGGAGGCTCCGCGATGACCCCAAGGGAACCCCAAGATGGTCCCAAGAGACCTCAGAGAAAACGCTTCCAAGGCGGCTGTTACACTGCATGATTCTGATTTGTGTCTGGTCAAGGCAACTCGCCTGGCGATCTGCTATCGGATAGAGTGAAAGGGCCCCAAGATAATTCCAAGAGGACCTCCCAAAGACCAGAGTAAATCCGCCGTGGGAGCTTTTCAAAAGTCTCCACACATGGTCATCCTCCCTGTTCCTCCTCCCTGTTCCTCCTCCCTGTTCCCCCTTGCTCCCCCCCTCATCTCCTCCTCCTCTTTCCCCACCTGCGCAGCAGGCTCCTCCAAATCCGTCATGACCACCTCTTCATGACTCTCGTCGTTTTTCTCTTCCTTCTGCTCCCATATGGAGGTGCTCGGAAGCTCCGCGGGCTGCCCCAAGCTGGTGATCCTAACGTAAATCTCTTGGGGAAGGATCGCGATAAGGAGACGCAAGCACGGCCCAACCTGGTCGCCGCGGCATGGGAACATGTGTTGTGTGCTTCAACATATGTTCCCGAATCTCCAGGCGCGCTCCGACACAACCTTGGTCATGGGAACGTACCTGGGCATCATTCCCACCGCTTCTGTCACCCCTGCACGTTTCCAAGGCAACCGTGCAACTGCATGCTTCTAGACCGCCCTGATTCGAGCCAATTCCCTGGATGGGCTGATGGGGATATTTTTTGTCGCGGCCGCAAGCGAAAGCGCAGGAGGCGTCCGAAAAGGTCGAGCGGGCTACGCGCAAGCCGGATTAACAGCGACCGTGCGCGGGATCAGAACCTGCCGCCAGGTGGGCAACTGGCTGCTGATGGGGAAACTGTTTTGGCTCGCGGCTCCAAGGCGATGGACAGGGAGCGGGCACAACGTCCGGGGCGCGGTACGATGTAAATGGGCCGCAGTGGCGTATGCACATGCTAAGGACAACATGCCCCTCATTGAGACGCAAGACAGCGTCGGCAGGTGACCGGCCCAGACATCCCGGCAGGTGGGGAAGCCTGCTGATGGGGATATGTTTTTCTGATCAGCGGCCTGCAAGGAAGAGCCCAGAGGGCGTGTCAATCGGGCTGACGGGGGCACAGAGCCAGATAATTTGCGAACCCAGCTGTCGCTGTCGACAGCCGACCGCACACGCATGCATGCAGAACAAATCGGGGACAACGGGCAGACGAAGGCACCAGGCTAAAGAGCTGCAGAGCGGCCGCTGTCGAGAGACGGCCGCACGTGGCGACGCACGTGGCGCCAACACCCGAAAGCCGGGCGATGACACGACAGGAGGAAGCTGATGGGGATACTTTTTTTTGTTTTGTTTTTTACAGCCGCAGGCAGAAGCGCCAGCGGCGGAAGGTCGCGAACGGGCCGCGGACGCGACTAAATTACCTAACGCGCGCAGGGCCGCGGATCAGGCGGCTCACGACAGCGTCCAGGGAAGACGATGCAAAGCTGATGGGGATACGCGAAACGTCAACAATTCGGATGAGGATAAATCCAGAATCTCTGAGATCTGGCGGCTCTGGAGAATACAGTGGAGGCCAGTCCACAAGAATTCTTCCACAAGGAACCCGAACCTGAGACCCCAGGACGTCCATTGACTTTTGGCGGGGGAACGTCGCGTTTTCCACAGTAAAGCCATCGAAACCCAGGGCACCCTGGAGGCAAAAAGGGTGTTTCTTTGCACGGGTCTCCACTGTAGATCTGGTCCGGAACGCTCCGAGGGTGTTCCGGAACGCTCTGGAACGGACTTCTCCTCGTCCATTGCCCCGTCCGATTGCCCTCTCCTTCTTTCCCTCACGCCAGCAAGTCGGGGAGCTCACAGGCAAAGGATGCAACGGACGCCGACGTGGGGGCGAAGGCGGGGACCCGATCGCACCCGCAGGGCCTCAGGCAGCACCGAACGGGCCCTCCGGGAAGGGAACGCGGGGCGATGGAGGCTCGAGAAGCGGAGAGGACACAACATATTCATAGTGAGATGTCGGTTGCTATCGAGTGGCCGGAGCTACGGGTCAGGAGATGGACATATTTTGCAGCCGCCCCGAGCCTTCCCGCGGCCCCGACCAACCTGGCCTCCGCGGCCGATGCTCCCGCGGGAGTGCCCGGCCCACGGCCTCGGCAGTGTCTGGCCGATCACCGGGCGTCAGCGCCAGCGGCAGCGCCGTCGCCGTCGCCGTCGCCGTCGCCGTCGCCGTCGCCGTCGCCGTCGTCGTCGTCGTCGTCGTCGTCGTCGTCGTCGTCGTCGTCGTCGTCGTCGTTGTCGTCGTCGTCCGTGCGCACAGCACCTCGGCGAGAACAGTCGAGCAGCGATGGCTTCGTGGCACATGCAGGTCGCGAATCGCAAGGTCGCTGGGCAGACCGGGAACAGAGCACAGGCCGACCTGCGAGGGGGCAAGCTCGCGCTGTGAGCCGTGGCCCGGGCAAGGCGGCAACGCGGCCGGCTGCGTGCGCGGGCCCGCCAAGGCACCGAGCTGCTCGCACCGCGCCCCGCGCACGTGCGGCCGTCGTCGCGCCCTCGCGCCGCCCACTGGGGGAGGCCAGCTCGGCGGCACCGGCCGCGACCCGAGGCGGGGCTGCCTTCGCGCCCGTGGGGGTGACCCGGGCTCTGGGTGAGCCCAGTCCTCCTCCTCCTCACCCTCCTCCACCTCCTCCTCCTCCCCCTCCCCCTCCTCCTCCTCCTCCTCCTCCTCCTCCTCCTCCTCCTCCTCCTCCTCCTCCTCCTCCTCCTCCTCCCCGCTGGCGATGAAGATCCCAAGCAGCCACACACGCGCACGCGCACGCACGCGCACGCACGCGCACGCGCACGCGCACGCGCACGCGCACGCGCACGCACACGCATACGCACGCGCACGCGCACGCGCATGCGCATGCGCACGCGCACGCCCGCCCGCCCGCCGCCCGCCGCCGCGCCCGCCGCCCCGCCGCCCGCCCGCCCGCCGCCCGCCCGCCCGCACACGCACGCACGCTCGCACGCACGCACGCACACACACACACACGTTCACACACACACATTCACACACACACATTCACACACATACGCACACACACACACATTCACACACACATTCACACACACATACATTCACACACACACATTCACACACACACATTCACACACACACACACAAAACACACACAAACACACACACACAACACACACACACAACACACACACAACACACACAACACACAGTCACACACACACAAACACACACACACACACACACACACGCAGACGCTTAGAATCGGGATCCACCAAAGGGGGGGGGAGTTCGATCCAAAAAACGTGCCCCTCGCGCGCCCCAGTTGTCGACACACACGCACACACATTCACATCACACACACACATTCACACACACACACATTCACACACACACACACATTCACACACACAAATTCGCACACACACACATTCACAATCACATTCACACACATTCACACACGCACGCACACATTCACACACACACACACTCACATACATAACACACACAAACACACAACACACAAATGCACACACACAACACACACAACACACACAGACACACACACACAACACACACACACAACACACACAACACACACACACGCAGACGCGCAGAATCGGGATCCACCAAAGGGGGGGGTTGGTGCATCGAATTTCCGAACAAGAAACGATGCCCCTCGCGCGCCCCAGTTGTCGACACCTCTCGGGTTCTGGCGCCGGCCGGAGGCCTTGTTTTGCATCGTTCTTGGGCGGCTCGGTGCGCCAGCGGACCGAACTCACTCCCCCCTGTGGCACCCCCCCCCCCTTGCGGGATCCCGACAGAGCGTGCGTGGACCGCCGCGCACCCTTCGGCGAGGCAGCGGGCGGCACGCACCCCCCTTCCCACTCGACTGGTCACAGTTCTGCCTCGTGTGCAGGGTGGTCTTCGCCCGCGTGTCCGTGTGGACTGCCTCTATGATGTCGTACTCGCCCCACCTCGGAGGCAAACTGATGCGGATCGAGGCTCCGAGCATGGAGGTAGCAGAATTCATGAAAAGGAAGCGACAAGAAACATGACAACGTACATGCGCCCCAACACAATCACACCAGCCGTGCTCCTATCACAAAAGCGTTCAAGCATTACCTACGTACTATATGCCATGATGTTCACCAATTGCGCACCGACAGCTGTGAAGCCGTAGTTCTGATGACAAAGTAGCATGGGGAGCGATGTGCACTGCTTCTGGTTTGCGATGGCCACGCCAATCTATGTATTCGTGACCGGTCTATATGCATGTAGACGGTCTGTCTGCTGTCTGATAACGTTCAGAACCCCGTGCTACTGGTCGCATCTGTCACAATCCTCGGGTGATGCTACTGGTACCATCTGACACGGGCAATCTCGGAGAGGATCACGAAGTACATCGCGATCGCCATTACAAGCTTGAGGTGTATGGTCGCGCCCACGCGTAACAGGGCTATTGAGTTCTTGCCCAGCAGACCTCCACAATCTGCTGCACTATCAAATGTCGTTCACTGTTGTATGCTCATTCCCGAAGTCGCCGCACATGAAACTCGCGTTGGCCTCTTTCCACAACCGAGGTCGCAAGACCGTAATTGTTGCACTTCTCCAGGTATGTCACCCTGGCTGTTTTGACTCCGCAGGGCAAGGCGCAGGCCGCTCACAATGTATGAATGCGTATCGCACCGATGGTCTCGTCCACCTGCCCGTTGGGGCCAACGAACAAAAAACTCCCTCGCAACAGCCAGTCGGTGCCCGCAACGACAGTACAGCATCCACCACTTCCTCGACCCCAGCCAGCGCTGCAATGTCGACGTCCATCGACCCAGCACGCACACCCACAAGGACAATAGCAAAATATCCTTGTGGAGTACGTCACGTGTGATGGGCGTGCCGAAATCAGCGGGGCGACCGCATGCGCACGCTCCAACTCGGGCTGTAGTTCAAGACCCCTATGGGGCACAACACATGTGAGGGCATGCCGAAATGAACGGAGCGGCCGCATGCGCACACCCCCACTGGGGCAATCGCTGAAGCTTCCTGTGGGGCACGATCCATGTGACGCGCGTGCCGAAACGGTCGCGACGACTGCGTGTGCACCATCCCGCTGGGGACGCATCTGGAGTTCTCTATGGGGTTCAATCCGCGCTAGAGAGGGGGCCGAAACGAGCGGGGCGGGCGCATGCGCGCAACCCCACTGGGGCCGTAGCTGAAGCCCCGTCTGTTGCGCGACACCTGTGAGGGGTGTGCCGAACTAAGCGGGGCAGCCGCATGCGCACACCCTCCCACGGTGGGCTTAGCGGGGCAAGACGCGCACGCGGGGCGTGCTGAAGCGGGCATGGGGGCAGAGCCGGCAGCAGCAGCAACAGCGGCTGGCAGCGGCTGCAGCAGCGGCAGCAGTAACAGCTGCAGCAGCACGGGGCAGGCCACGCAACAGTAGCGACGGGAAGGGCAGGAGGGGCAGCAGGAGCAGCAGAAGGGGAGGGGGGGGAGGAGGAATGAGAGGGGCGGGAGCGCTGCGCTGCTGAGAGAAAACGAGGACCCAACATGGCAGAACGGCTTGAATGACAACTGCCCGCTGTATGCGCATGCTGTGCAGCTGCAATCTGCCACTCGTACAATGGATGCGAACCGCAAACTTCAAATGATAGCGTACCGTGCCGACTTCCGACACACTTCTAAGCCGACGTATTCCGAATTGCGCACTTCTTCTTGGAGAGAGGATCGGCTGCATTAGGCGGCTGAGTGCTCACCGTAATTCAGCGCTGACTTGTGGTGTTCCGCATTCGTGAGCCAGTCCATTCACGTCGACGAGGCATCTGGCATGAACATCAATCGTCTACCACTTCCGCCGCAACAGGTGCGACACAACTTTCCAGCCTGTGCCTTGGACCAGCCTGACTCTGCGCTGGAGATACTGCCCACAAGACAGGGCAATGAAAATCTCAGACCTTAGGACTTGACACTCTTAGAGCGAAGTCCCAGAGTCGCACATGCTCCATGACCACCCCCTCATACTATTCACCCCCTGGGGTCGAGCCGGTGGCATGACTCCCCTACGGATCGCTGGTCGCACAGGAGCCACCGCCCGCTGGTAGTCATCGGACTCCGCCCCGACAGGATGAGCTGCAGCAGCACACCGGCCTCGGACTCAAAAGAAAGGACGATCACAATGCCGCACTCGGACACGCCGTGGCCCGAAGCGCCCTGGTGATGATCCTGCAGCACGTGGACGCTCCGATGCAACGCGGTACAGGGGCGTTGAACTCGCTTCGCTACGGTCGACGCCACCCGTGCGCTGTTGGTCGCACGGGTACCCAGGGTAACGACGAATCCCGTCACGGCGCGAGTATCAGTTATGCAATATTCGAAGAGCGCCGCTGTGAAGAGCTCTTCGCTACTGCTCGTCGTCCTCGCACTCGGCAATCTTGACACCAACTGTCATGATGTTTTCTGTACCGTTGCGGCCGGCCAACTCATCTTGAGTTTTGAAGAACTCGCCGTCGCCCTTGCCCTCGCTGATGGACCAATCCTCGGTCGTCCACTTGTGGCACATGGCACATGCACATGGATTCGAACATGCCGTGGCGGGGTCATGCTTAAATATGGTGCTCGCGCACGAAGCGGACGTGGGCATGCAACACACAATGCAACTAGGGCAACGATGTCCGCGTGAAGCTCGCCGCCGAATCCAAGAGACTTTCTCTCGGTGCTCACAGGATGCTCGGTGTCGAGACCGCCCACACATGCTGCGAACACCTACTTGGCACGCCGATGCGCTCAAGCACGGAGATGCACAACAATGCCTTGCAAGCTTCTGTCGCGACGTTGGCCCCCTCCTAGAAGAAACCACATAAGCATAAACAGAAGAAAAAACGCCATATGCATACGCTTTTGGCGCTCAGCGCGGATTTCTTAGATCTGCGCTGGACCCCCCTCCCTGGCGCGCGGGGCGCGCCAGGGGCGGCGCCAGAGACGCCGCCGGGAGGGCCCAGCGCGGATCCAAGAAATCCGCGTGGAGCGCCAACAGTTTCTGCTCATGGCGTTCCTTCTTCGAACCACGTTGGTCCCCGCCTGGAAAAAAATAAAATAAACATAAACATAAGCTGTCGGAGCCCCGCGCGGATTGGGGCCCCCAGACTTGGCGCGCGGGGCGCGCCGGAGGCGGCGCTCCAAAGACCTCACCGCACGGTCCGTAATGATCGCCGCACGGCCTGGGCACCTCGGAGGCCCCGGCTGCTCGAGACGAAACGTCCTCGCAGACCGAGCCAAGTCCCCAGACTGTGCAGCCAGCCGGGGCCGAAGCTGAAGTCGTGGCTGGTGCCGAGCCCGAGACCTGGACCGGAGCCCAGAACGGAGACCCCCCCCCCCGCGTTGCAAAAAAATCACGACAGGAAGCTATGCTCTATTTTTGGCCTCCGGGGGCCCTTCCCGGGCCTCGGGGCCGTCAAAAGACGACTCAGGATGAAAAACAGGCCCCAGGAAAAGGGTCGGGACTTCCAGGGACCGCGTGTTGACAAAAATCAGGACGTGGCATGTCAGGGCACCAGAGCCGAGAACTCCAACGGGAGCTGGAGCCGAAGCGGCCGAGGCAGGAGCCGGGGCCGCGCCCGAGGCCCGGGACCCCCCGAAGCCCCACTGACACACCACACAGTTTGAGCACCGCACCGCTCGGTGGCACCAGGCTCGCTGCAGGACCGGTCTGCTTCATGGCCGGGGCTCCGCGCCGCTGCTGCCGAGCAGCCAGACCACTCCCGAGACACCAGCGGCATGGGCGAGACTGGGCCGGAGGCCGGGGCCGCTGGGACCGCTTTTGTCAGTGCAGGTCGGCGGCCAAGAGGAGAGTAGGTCTCTTCGGGCTCTTCGGGGGACCTCCTGGAAGGCCAAGCATGTCCGGGATCTGAGAGGATGGTGTACGGCAGGTCAGTGTCGAGACGACCCCAGCGTTGGTCTCTGACACCGCGCAAATCGCTCAACCTGGAGCGATCGGTGGCATTTCGATCGCTCATCGTTCCATGTTGGCCGATTCTGGGCCACTGGCGGCGTTCAACCCCGCACGCCCGCGGCGGGGTTTTTATCGTGTGTTCACGATATGACCCTATCGCACGTCTGGTTGTCAGTTCGACCGTCGGACGGGCGGCCCGTGACTCCATGCTTCGCAGAGGGGCCCATGGGTGTAGCTTCGGCTGCTGGGAAGACACAAACGGCCCCCCAATTCAGCACCAACTTCCCTACCTTTCGCCTCCTCCTCCTCCTCCTCCTCCTCCTCCTTCTCCTCCTCGTCCTCCTCGTCCTCCTCCTGTTGGGCTCCACACGTCGCGCTGTGCGCTGCAGGGCCACCTACGGAGCACAATCGAAGGCCACTCGGTGTCGGCAGCCGTGGAGGGGAGAGGAGGGACGAAGCGCACGAGGCGGCTCGAGAGCCCCAGCCTCTCTCTCGCCGCGGCAGGGGTGCCTGGGGGCAAGGGCTGCGGGCAGTGTCCTGTCTCTGGGGGGGCCCTCGACGGGTCGGCCGCACGCATGAGCGGCCCTGGAGGAGGAGGAGGAGGAGGAGGAGGAGGAGGAGGAGGAGGAGGAGGAGGAGGAGGAGGAGGAGGAGGAGGAGGAGGAGGATGGCCCTGGGCAAGGGTGACCTTTGGCGCGCTGCTGTCGGGGAGCGTTGGGGGAAGGGGAGGGGGGGGGGGGGGCAGAACCCACGCGCGCAAGACGCGACGATCGCATCGCATTCGGCGATCGGGGGACCCCAGTGGACCAGCATCACAGGTCACTCTGGCGAATGGCCACTCTTACGTTCAGTCGATCCGCCCGAGGTGGAATTGGTCGTCTGATGTCTGACGGCTAGCACGAGGCGCAGGACTGGCCCTCAACGCGGGCACTGCAGAAACACTTGCAACATCGCGAGAAGTCACGACTGGAGCCCTAGACCCAGCACTTCTGCGTCCTTTCTCCAGCCGCCCGCTCGATCTGCGAGGGCCCCGCGGCCCGAAGCCGGGCGACGACGCCCGCTGAGAAAGACAACCGCGTGGGGAGAAAGGGGCTGGGAAGGTACAGGGTACGGCAGGTTCGTGTCGTGCCGACCCCAGCGTTGGTTTTTGACACCGCAGGGATCATTCAACCTTGAACGATCGGCCGCTGCCGCAACGTCCGATCGTTCAACATCGATCGATTCTGGGTCGCCGGCGGCGTTCAACCTTGAACGCCCGCGCTGGGGTCGCCGCTGGTCGACACGACGCAAACCTACCGTACGACTGTGCAATAAGTGAGCGTTTTCTGATTCGGCGTTTCGACATTGGGCGGCAGGGAGGAGGGCGGAGGGGGGGTCTGGCTCCAGACCTCTGCTCAGAGCGACTGTTTGCAGCAGTGCGTCCATATGGGGGAGGCTCCACCTGCCCGAAACGGGCGCCCAAAACAGCCAAGATCTACTCCATGGTGTGTGGGGGGGAAGGGGGGGGATGAGGGCCAACGCCGATCGGCAAAACAGCGAATACAAAAAAACGACCACCAAATACCTTCAACATACGAGGTAGGATTGATGATCAGACCACCTCTCCCGGTCCTCCTCGTCTTCCTCCTCCTCCTCCTCCCCCTCCTCCTCTTCCTCCTCTCCCTCCTCCCCCCTCGTCCTCCTCCTCCTCTTCCTCCCCCTCCTCCTCGTCCTCGTCCTCCTCCTCCTCCTCCTCCACCTCCTCTTCCTCCCCTCCCCCTCCTCCTCCTCCTCCTCCTCCTCCTCCTCCTCCTCCTCCTCCTCCTCCTCCTCCTCCTCCTCCTCCTCCTCCTCCTCCTCCTCCTCCTCCCCTTCTCCTCCTCCGAGCCTGGTAGCTGTCTTTCCGACCCGCGGCTAGGTTGGGCGGGGGAGCGCCTCGCCCGGCCTCGGCCGGGGGCGCGCAGCGCCCTCACCGTACGCCACGCGAGGTGCGGTCGGTGGTCTGATCAGATGGTCTGATCACATAAACATAAAGAACATACATGATCAGAAGCGAGGAGGAGGAGGCTTTCTCAGAAGGCGGCAGGGCTCCTCTCGGGAGCCCTCGGGCCTTCTGGGAAGGCCGGCCCCTTCTCGCTTCCCCCTGGGCTCGCCGCCGAGATTAGAGTGAGGGCATTTGATAAGGAACCCTTGTACCAGGAATCACATAAACATAACGACGAGGGGAACGAATAATGACTTAAACATAAAGACTCGGAGGTCCGCGCGGATTTCTCGGATCGACGACTGGGCCCCAACCCCCCTCCCTGGCGCGCGGAGCGCGCCAGGGACGGCGCCAGAGGCGCCGCTGGGGGGCCCAGTAGCCGATCCGAGTAATTTGCGCGGACTCCCGAGTTTTTATGTTTATGTCACTTGTTGTTCCCCTATCACTTCTCCCAGCCTTCGGTCGGGCATGCCCTCCTACAGGAAGAGTTTCAAAACGCAGTCACACATATTCGCAAGTAGTCAACAATGGTAGAGAGAATCGTCCCCAGACTATTGTTGGACTAATGTTGGGCATTCCTCCTGTAGAGGGACATGCCCGACTTCATTCCAGCCCCATCCTCCCCGCACGATAGTTGTCTGTCTTTTGGAGTCCCGAATCGGTGCGGTGACAGACCGTGCAGTGACCTCGACATCCCCCAAGACCTCACCGCACGGTCCGTCACCGCACGATCTTGGGACCTCGGAGGATGCCCCAGGCGCCCGAGACGTCCTCGGAGAACGACCCGATTTCCCAAAACCGTGCGGTGATCCCGAATCCCCACCGACTCACCACACGGTGTGGTCACCACGCCGTTGGGGGGCCCCCAAATTTCTGACCCGTGCCCCGAAAAATCGTTCACAGACTATTTTTGGACTAATTTTTAACGTTCCTCCTGTAAAGAAACATGCCCGACTTCATCCCAGCCCCTCCCCGCACGATAATCGTCTTTCTGACCCGTGCCGAAAAATGCAACGCCCCCGAGCTGCGGGCGGGGGAGATGCCAGTCCGGCCTCGGCCATGTGTGCGTGCATCGGTCCTCGCCGCACATCTAGAAGGCTGCCCAGCATTTCTGCGCCACTCGGCTGCACGCGGGCGTGGCCCTGGGCAAGAGCGACCTTTGGTGCGCGGCCCACTGGGGGCCAGTCGGGGACACCACCAGGCGCGCCGGCCGCTGCTATCGCATCGTGTTTAACGAACGGGGGCCCCGCTGGGCCCGCACCAAAGGTCACCCCGGCGAACGGTCAATCTTACATGTAGCTGAATCTGATGATGATGCTGATGATGGTGATGATGGTGGTGATGATGGTGATGATGGTGATGGTGATGATGATGGTGATGGTTATGCTTATGATCATGCTGATGCTGGTAATGATTATGATGATAATGCTGATCACCATCATCATTATCATCATCATCATCATCATCATCATCATCATCATCATCATCATCATCATCATCATCATCATCATCATCATCATCATCATCATAAACATCGTCATCATCATCATCATCATCATCATCATCATCATCATCCTCAGCCTCATCCTCATCCTCATTCTCCCCCTTGATCGATCTGCAAGGGTACTGGGGCCCGAAGCCGGGCGACGCCGCCCGTGTGGAACAACAAAGATACAGCGCGCGGAGCTGCGACTCCTCCCCCCCTCCTCCTCCTCCCCCTCCTCCTCCTCCTCTTTCCCCTCCGCCTCCTCCTCCTCCTCCTTCTCCTCCTCCTCCTCCTCCTCCTCCTCCCCCTCCTCCCCCTCCTCCTCCTCCTCCTCCTCCTCCTCATCCTCCTCCTCCTCCTCCTCCTCCTCCTCCTCCTCCTTCTCCTCCTCCTCCTGGGGGGCAGCGGCCCGGCTGGCCTCGGCCAGGTGTGTGCGTCGTCCTCGCCGTACATCCAGAAGGCCGGCCAGGTGCCTGCTACAGCGGCGGGGCTCGCCCTCCCTGATCCCCCCACAGCAGGTTGCTCCAATCGTACTTCGGGACCACGTCCCAGAAGCATTTCGAGAACCCCTGAGATCCTGACGTTGCAATTTTTTAAAATACGGACGCTATCGCCCTGTTTCGGGCCCAGGGACCCTCGCAGATCGATCCGGCAGAAAGCTGGGGTCCAGGGCTCTGGTCGTGATTTTTGGCGATGTTGCGTTTTCGTCGCAACGCCGGATCTCGAAACATTGTCTGCCCGACGCGCTAGCGAAGTGTCGAGCGAATTTCGCCCCCCAGGGCCCGACAAGTGAAAACCCTCCATGTTCAGTACCTTCCTGGTGCTCCAAATTCTTTCCCGCGATCAAGGCCAACAAAAAGGCTGGAGCATCATCACCTCCACGGCAAGTTCGCCTCGCGGCGACTTGTGCGCTGGTTTCTGACACCGCGTGGATCGTTCAACCTTGAGCGATTGGCGGCTTTCAGATAGCGCGGACCGCTGGATGTCGGCCGACTCGGGCACACTGGCCTTGTTGAACCTTGAACACCCACGCTGGCGTCGCCGCCGCGACGACGACGCGACACTAATCTGCGGTACCGCCTCTCTGAATCTCCGTATCGTTCGACACCGCTGAGCCGATGGAGCGAAGAAGGAAATGTGCAGCGACGGAGTCCCAACGCCCCGCCCGGAGCACAAAGAATGACCCGGGGTGTGGGTGGGCCCCTTGGGACATCAAAACAGAAGTCGGGTGCCCGGTGCCGGGAAGAGGGGCACATTCGGCCCCCTCTCGAGCGCCCTCTGGGCCGCCTTGAAGCACATCTAAACCTTGCGCCGTTTTCCCCTGTCTTGGGCACTTCATGGGGCTGTGGCGGTCTTCGACCCGTCGGGAGCGGCTAGAACTAGGAAGTTGGGCGGTACTCACGAAACGTCTTGCAGCAAGCCTGGGATACCAGCCTGGGATACGGGTTCATTACAAATCTGCGATTGTGGGATTGCGAACGCGCCGTGGCTTGACCACGGCCCTCACTCAACGCCATTGTGCAATGCAATCGCCAAGGCATGGAGCACACACACACACCCACACATACACACACACACAACACACACGAACACGCAGACACACAAACACACAAACACACCAAGACACAAGCACACAAACACACAAACACACAAACAAACCCACACACACACACTGATTATGCAACGAGGGTAACTGGGATGTGCTGCCGCAGCCAGTGGGGATGTGGTCCACGGCCAGCACGAAGAGGCCCTCGTTGTATACCGCCTTGCGAGTCGTGGCAAGAGCCGATAGGGGTGAGAATCTGGGCGAAGGCGTGAGGTGGAACGAACAGGGGTGGGGACTGCATCAGGGGGGGGAAACGTTGACCTGGAATCGACGGTACATCGCCGATAGAGCATAGGCTCTCGATTGCGAGGGCGGGGTGGGCTATCAGGCCCTGTTGGCGATGAATGGGCGATTGGGGGTCGATGCGTTCCCCCTTGAGCCTGTCGCCCCCATTGTCCCCCCCCCCTGGAGGGAAGCGGAGAGTTTTTGTTCTTTCCCCCCAACAGAACTCCAACGCACGACATGATAACACTGCAACTGAGGGTCAACTAAACACGACCCTGGGGCACGCTGCTCCCCAGACAATCGGCGACTGCTGGTCGTCGCATGTACCACTGTTGCACCAGGCCTCCACCTGAGATCCAATGCAGAGCAGCGTGCAAGTATCTGGAAGAGAAGGGAGGGGAGCCAGAAGGAACAAAAAGACGTCAGGAGAGAGCGAGCCGCTGGAGAGCCCTCTGTCCACATGCGGCACCTGGCCTGTGGAAGGCTGCGCGACCGCTCCTGCTCAGCTGCCGTGCCGCGCCGCGAGCCTCGGCTTCCCCGAGACGTGGCCGAAGACCGCGCGAACGGCAGTGCGACCCTGCTGCCCCACGCTGGCCAGCAGCGTGGCCTCGCCGTGCCGCGCCGACCGGCGCCCCGCGCAGGGCTCGCACCAACGGCTTCCTTGCTTGTTGCGAGCAGTCGGCTGGCGTTTCAGGATGTTGCTCCTCCTCCTCCTCCTCCTCCTCCTCCTCCTCCTCCTCCTCCTCCTCTTCCTCCCCCTCCTCCTCCTCCTCCTCCTCCTCCGCCTCCTCCGCCTCCGCCTCCTCCTCCTCCTTGGGGAAACGAAGAATGGCATAAACAGAACAACTCGGAGGTCCGCGCGGATTTCTCGGATCCGCGCTGGACCCCCCCTGGCGGCGCCTCTGGCGCCGCCCCTGGCTCGCTCCGCGCGCCGGGGGGAAATCCGCAGGAGGGGAGGGGGGGGGGGGGGGGGCGATAGATGGGGGGGCAGCGAGAGCTGCCGAACAGGCACTGAAGTGGCCCATTTGGGCCCCAAAGGGGCCCGCTGACGCCCGAAACATAGACGTCGTTTCACCCCCCCCCCGCTCCGTCTCGGTGCAAAGAGTCCCGTCTGCTTTGTAAAGTGGTCGTTCTGGTTGTAAAGTGGGCTGTTTCGGTTGAAAAGCGGCCGTTCCCAGAGGAAAACCCAGGAATCCGATCCTGTGCTATAGTTGTAAAGTGACCTATATCTCGGTTGTAAAGTGCCGTTCGGGTGGTAAAGAGACCGAATCTCCCCACTGGATCGTCCCCACCTTTTTTTTGGGGGGGGGGGGACGACCCCAGACAACCCCAGTTTCTTCTTTTGATGCTTGAGGGCACTGTGCACTGGAGCGTCCCCACCTTGGAGCGGCGCCCAGTGCCGCCCCGTCGTGAAGGCCACCGGGGCGGTGCGGCAGAGGGCGCCCGCGCAGCGGCAGCACGCGGCCTGCGACCCAACCCGACTCGTGGCTGTGGACGAGCTGGTGGGCGTGTTTTCCACCACCACTACCATAAGTGGGAGGGGGAGGGGGTCCTCCTCCTCCTCCTCCTCGTCCTCCTCCTCATCCTCTACCTCCTTCCCCCCTCCAACTTATGGTGGTGGTGGAGAACAAGCCCATGACGAGCGCCCTGGCGAGGTCGCCGCAGGCCGATCGGCATTTTCTCTTCGCACGAGTCAGGGATACACCCAAACGGTGTTTCTCGTCATCCTTTTGTTTTTTCGTTTCCCCTCGTGCTGTCTTCGGCCCGCCCGTGCTGCAAAACGAGTGCAGAACGGAGACGCCCCACGAGATCAGCAAGCACCGCCCAGCGGAACCGAGCCCGCCAGTCTTGTGCGTGTCGGAGAACGTGCTGGTGGAGAGCGGCCAGCGGCTTCGCTGCACAACCTGCCGCAGGTCGGCAGAGGCCGCAAGCCCGCGTCGCCGCCTCTGGCATTCCCGGTGCCAGCCCCAGCCGTGGGAGCCCGCTCGCCGGCGGGACAGCTGCGCGGCCATAGCCAGTGGCAACTCGTCCACGGGAGCAGCGATGGCCATGGCAGCAGTGGCGGCCGTGATAGGGGGCCAGCGCCATGGGCCAAGCCAGCGGCGGGCAGTAGGCGCCGAACCATGAGAGGAAGCACAAGGTGGAACTAACAGGGGATATGTCGACCCCTCTCCCGGGCTTCGTGGGGTTTTCGAGTGGACCCGAAATCTGGGGCCCAAACCTGGGATGTTCATCGGGGGGAGCCCATTCTCGATAGGGGTGCGTCCGAGTAGCCCCCTTTGGGTTGTATCCCAGGGTTTCGCCCTCCTTCTGGGCGGCCGAACTTTTCGGGCGGAGCTCGGGGTTGGGGAGAAACATCGCCTGCGAACTGCGTGTTCGTGGTGTGCGGAAGCTACTCCAAGATGTGCATGCGGCTCCCGGCTCAGGAGTGTCACGGTCTGCTGGACGACGCGCGTCGCCAGCGGCGACAGGGTCTCATTCGAAGTTTTTGCGCCCGAAGACGGAGGAGGCTTTAGAGTGCTGAGCCTCTCCCGCCTGCGGGGGTGGTGCGGCGGAGCGCCACAAAACGATCCGTCGGTCCGCAGAAGTAGGTTGGACCATGAAGTAGGCAGTCGTTGGAAGTAGATTGGGTTTCCGCCCGCCCCCTGAGGAGGAAGGAAAAGGAAAAAACACTCGACGAAAGGAAGTTCACTCGACGATTGAAGCAGGCAGGCGCCTAGATGGGGATCTTGCCAAACAAAAAATATCGACTTGCATGGGTATCGTTTAACCGATCCCCATCCCCAGCGGCGTGGCCTGGGCCCCACTGGCCGACATACCCCCCTAGATGGGGATATAGGCCGTCCCCTTCGGTTTTCGAGGGGTGTATCCCCATCTGGGGTGGTAATTTGGTGGGGGTCTCGCAGGGGATGAGGATGGGGACGGGGTCGGATAAACGATACTTATTGCAACGACCGACGGGCAGTCCGCGCGCCTCCCTCCTCCTCCCCCGGGGCCCTCCCTGGCCTGGGGATCGTGCGCGTGCCGCGGGATATGGCACGAGCGTGGACTGGCCTCTTGAGTCGCTCGGCCAGTCTGGCGAGTTCATAGAAGCCTCCCAGATGGGGTCGGAGTAGATGGGGTCTGAGATTCGCGCCGCATCGGCGATGCATCGGTGCTGCACTGGCGATGCATCGTCGACGTCGGCGATGCATCGGCGCCTCGGTGTGGAGGACATCGGGCTCCACATCGAGCCGCATTACCGCTGCATCGGCGATGCGGCGCGCTCCTCCGACCCCATCTACTCCGACCCCATCTACCAGGAGGCCTAGAGTTCAACAAAAAGGTGGGGCTAGAAGAACGCTCGGAAGGCCCTGCGCCCGGGGCAGCCTTGGACTGGATGCGCACGGAGCGGCGGCCAGTCTTGCCCTTCACTACCGTCTGCATGTCTGCACCTGGCTAGGGGGGGGGACTCCAGGGAAATCGGGGGGGTGACCCCTCAGACGCCCTCGCGTCGTGAAAAAGCACGGCGACGTTTCCCACAAGTTCGGGCTCTGGGGGCCCTCATTGGGTCCTGGGTCCTGGGACCGCGATTGGCCATCGCGCCTGGATCTTGCGGGCGCAAAGGCACAAGGGGAGCCAGGCTGCAATGCGAAGGCGCTGGGCGATTGCGAAGGAAAAGCAACACTATCAGGCACGAGGAGCACAAGGAGCAGGAGGAGCAGGCGCACGGAGGAGACGGGAGTGAGGAGGCAGGAGGAGCAGGAGGAAGGAGGGGCCTGACGAGGATCGGGAAGAAGGCGTCTAGGGGGTGAGGCGCTGCCGCGTTTGGCCATCGCAGCCGATTTCTCCAGGCGCGACGCAAGGGCAGCCGGGCTGCGGCGGAGAAGCATCAGGCAGAAGGGGGCGACACACGGGCAGAGGGCGGCTGCTGCGGGGAAGCAGCAAAATCACGAGGAACACGCGCACGAGGAGGCACGAGGAGGCACGAGGAGGCAGGAGGAGGCAGGAGGATGCAGCAGGAGCACGAACAGCAGGAGCACGGTAAGCACGTGGAGAAGGAACACGGAGGCGACACACGAAAGGAGGCAGCCGGGAGTGACGTGTCCGAGCACGGGGGGTGAGATTGCTCCGAGGGCTCCACGCCCTGCGGAACAAACCAAGACTAGGCCGGCGACGGGCACGTCGCCGCCGAGGGAGAGGCAGCGGCCGGATCAACGGAACTGGCCCACGGGGGGCCAGCCGCAAGGAAAACATCGGGCCGCTGGATGTCTCGCGCCCTCAGTTGCTCTCGTGCGGGAGGCCGACAACTTGTGGGAGGAAGGAGGCACGAGGGGGGCGTCGGGAGCCCAACACTAATGATAGACCGCCGGGCCACTTGCGACTAGAACTACTACGTGCGCTTCGCGCGCTCAGGTTCTCCCGAATCCCAGCTCGCAGTGCGATGCCGAGGGTTTAGCAACTGTTGCGGGTACGACTTTAATCCGACGGCGCTGAGGAAGCACGTAGAACAAAACCGCGCTTCTCTGAGCTCGAAGGTCTCCGGGAGGACGACGAACATGGCGCGGGGGGGCTTCCGCGGCCGCGCGGTGAGTCTGCCCTTCACCACGACTTTGGACTTGCATCGTTTTGCTCGCAGTCGGCTGCTGGCACCGCGCCTTGCGCCGCATGAGCTGAGGCGCCCCGTCGGCCACTCGCAGCTTCACCAACGTCGGCCAGCCAGGCGAACCTGAGCGCGCACTTCGCCGACGCCAGAGAAGCCCGCGAGCTCTCGGGGGTAGTTAGCGACCTGCTGCGTCGATTCCGAACCCGCGCGCGACGGCTCAATCGGCGCCGTTCGTGCCCGCGCCGCGCCGCGTCTCCAGAGTCTCGGCGTCGGAGATCTCTCGGGAGAGCCTCGCCGCGGGCAACTGCCACCCAATGGCGGTGGAAATTCGTCGCCCCGCCGCGCGGCGGAGGGTGGGGGGGGGGGGGCCGACTGGCGCGAGCAGAACAGCCAGCGGAGGATCGCGCAGCACTCAACAGGAAGAGGGCGCGCTCCGATCACGACGGCCGCGCGGCGACGATGGCCGTCTGGAGGGGCTCGGCGGCGGCCGCGCTGGCGCGGCAGGTTGCCAGAGGCGCGGTCTGTTCTTAAACGCGAACGCGGCGCGGCCCCACGCGCCGCCCGCGCTCGCTCGGCCGGCGTCGGCGAGGGGCCGCCCAGTCAACGTCGGGAGCACGACGGCCCCGAACTCCCCGGTCACCAGGAAACTGGCCGCTCGTCGTTGGCTCCGGACTGCTGGCAGCTTGTTGATCAAAGGCTTCATATCCAGCGTGACTTAGGCGCAGCGGTTCACGGGCACCTCGTCGGAGAGGATGAATGCGCCGCAATCGAGCACGCGCTCGCGCGGGCCGTCTGGACATAGCGATCGCCCGGGCGCGGCCTCGAAACCGGTGGCCTACGATTGCGCGTCGGCGGGCCGCGGCTTCCCGCGCTGCACGGCGCCCGCTGCAGCGAATGTGTCGTTCCCGTGCTGCAAGCGGACCGCGCGCCGTTGAATCGCCGGGCGCAGCTGCGTGCATTGAGCGCGTTTAGCAGCGGCTGCTCGGCGCCCGCAAGCGGGGCCGCGCTGTCAGACAAAGCTTGGTCTGCAGGGGTGCACGCAATCACCGTGGCCGCGAGGATCGAAGCCCGCGTCGTCGCGCGGGCGCCCGCCGCGGCCTGGCGCCGCGGGTCGGAGGCCGCAGCGCGGATGCCCGCGCGCTCGTCATCTACGGATGCCGCGCGAAACGCGTCGCGCCCCTTCGCGTGCGCCTCCAGCCAAGCGCTCGTCAGCCACCGACGCGGCGTCGTCGCGGGCTTGAGAGACCTCCCGGGCAGCGCCGCCGAGAGTTTCCTCCGCGGCGTCGTCGTCGCGACGCTTCCGACAGAAATCAAACGAACATTTCGGGAAGACGGCTTTGGGGGAGATGCCCCCTCGGCGCCGCTGGGCGCTCTGGCCGCGAGTCGCATTCGATCGATCGTTCTGCCTCTTCACGCGGGCTCGCGCGCCCGGCGCAACTCGGCGGTGACGAGCGCCCCCTCGCGAGCACCAATGGCGGAGCCCGCTGCGGCGCGGCGCCGCCTCCGCGGCAGAATCCGCTGCGGCGCGCGGCGAGGGGGCAGCGCGCGGGCCCGGCGCCCGCTGCGAACCCGAGCGCCGCGGCCGGCGTCGCCAGACACCCGCTGCAAGCTGCGCGCAGCGTTTGCTGCGCGCGCGGAATCATGGCCCGCTGAGGCACAAATCAAGGGGCGGCGGGCGCGGATGTCAGCAACGCCGCCTCCCCGGCGGCAGCGCGCTCGAGCTCCGGGCGGCCGCTCTGCGAAGGGTCACCGCGCGACCTCCCCGCGGGCGCTTCGTGGCGAGACCCCCCGGCGCAAGAATGCCCGCGGTCCTGGCCGCGGGTCTCAGCTGTGGCGCTACCGCGGGCAACGCTGTAATTGCCCCGCCCATAATTTTGCGTCGCGGGCCGGCTAAGGGCCGCGCGCCCGTCGGCACTCTGCCCGGGGCGGCCATGGGCGAGTGCGCTGGGCATGTCGTCTGGCGCTCCATGCGCCAGCAATCTCTCTTCACCCTGGTGCGGCAAATTTTTCCTCCTGCGTAGGTGCAACGTGGCACTGCGTTCGCCCGGCGAGCGTGGCCCGGGCTGCGTTTTTGCGCGACGCTCGTCGCCGCGTGAGACACATTGCGTGGCGGGTCTGAGCGGCGCGCCGCGACCCCCGTGCCCTTCGACGGTGCTGTGAGGGCGGAGGCGAAGCGCAATGCGTGCAACGTTCGGAATGTTGGGCCCGCCGCGCAGGAAGCCCCTTCTTCCGCTAGTGATTACTGAAACGGCGTCGACGCCCACCGGCTTCGCATGTGCTGGACCTCGCCGTCCAGATCTCTCGCCGTTCGCACAGCTGCGCTACGGCGTCGAGTCGTTCGGGCGGCGCCTCCTTGAGCGACCCGTCCTGCGCGCATGAAGCGCCGATGCCGCCGAGAAAGTCTCGCGTCGCGGCCGTCGCGAATCTGCGCGCCCCTTGCCGCGCAACGAATGCACTGATCGCGGCGTCCGCTGATGCGCGTTTCCCTGCTGCGCTGCGGGGCCGCGGGCGGTGGGGGCTGCGCAGTGCCGCTTGGGCGCCGAGGCATTAGCGCGCACTGCGCGGAGCGCTTTATGGTCCGTCTGCCCTCACTAGCCAGCAAGTAGTAAGCCGCGGCGAAGGCGAAAGAGCCCGTGCCACAGAAGCCATTCGTAGGCCACGAGCGGGTTGACCTTGACAGGGCACTTCATGGTCTGTCTTTCCACGTTGGCCTGCAGTAGGCCGCGGCGAAGGCGAAAGAACCCGAGCCACGGAGGCCGTAGGTCGGCTTGATGCGGATGGACTTTGACGGGGGAATCTATGGTCCATCTGCCCGCTGTGGCCAATGGTGGGCCGCGGTGTGGGCGGCAGGGCCCATGCCGCAGAAACCGTTCGCTGGGTTGAGACGGATAGATCGTGGCGGGACACTTTAGGGTCCGTCTGTCCGCACTGGACAATAGTGGGTCTGCGCGTCGGCAGCGAGGGCCAGGGGGACCTTGACCGCAAGAACCAATGGTAGACTTGCGATGCAAGCGCGCGACTGGACGCCAGTCGGTCTACCGTGACCAAAAACAGGCCTCTGCGATGCCAGCCAAGGCGATCGAGCGCAGCACATCTAACGAGGGCAACGGAGCCCAGTGCCGCTCAGGCCTGATGGATGCCGGCGGCGACGCGACGCAGGGGGGGGGCGCCCCCGCGCGGGCGGGCCCCGGACCCCAAGGGCGGCATGCCCGCGGGCCGCAGAAAAAAGACAAAGTCTCAGAGCGCGGCAACAAGGGCGAGGCAATCGGTACCTGCGGATGCGGGGGGGGGACCGAGGGGAACCAGAGCGCGAGCGCGCGCGGGGCGGAGGCCAGCGCTCGCGCGTTGGGCCAAGCAGGCGGAAGCGGCAAGCGGCAGACGGCAAGCGCGACCGAACCGAACGCGAAGCCAGCCAGCAACAAGCGCCGAACAGGCGGGGCAACCGGACGAGACCGAATGCCGCGGGCGCGACGCGCGAACCGAACGACCGAGGAGACGGCGTCGAGGCCAGGAGACAAACGGGCGGACGACCATGAAGGGCAAGCGGGTGGGGGCCACGCGACGCGAATCGCGAGCCAGGGCCAACGCGGGCACGACGAACGGGTCGACAACGGAGTAAAGACGAAACTGACGGATGAGAACGCGAAAAACAGCGGGCCCGACCGTCTTGCATATGCCGCGGTCGCCCGCGCGGAATCGCATTGCGCGCGCGCTCACCCCGTCGGGCCGCGCGCGCACCTGCGATCCCCGCCTGCGCAGCGAAGCCGCGCGCCAGCGCGCGGACCTGCCCCGCGCGCGCGCGCGCCTGCCAAGCGATGCGCGTGCTCCGTAGCGGGCTCAGCCGCGGGGGAAGACTTCAGTTTTGTCGTTCGCCGCCGAGGACGCTGTCCCCCCCGCCTAACAGGAGGACGGGGGGGGGCCCTTGCTTCACAACTCCGGGGTTCATGCTGAGGCGCCCGAGCATGAGGAAGGAGGGGTATAGTCAACCCGCATAGTAAGGATGGGCAACCTTCCCGAAGGCACCTTGCATCCTTGCCTCCTCGGTCCATCCTTCGCCGCTCTCGCTGGCCGCGCCCCGCTCGAAACGCTTCGAAATGGGCGCCCAAGGCCCCTTGCATCCTTATCGCGCATCCTTACTATACTGGTTGACTGTACGGACGAGGGGCAGGAGGACAGGCGAGGGCAGGGAGAAGGAGAAAGGATCACGAGCGAGAATCGCGCACAAAACTGCGGACGAGGTGCGTGCCACTTGCCTCGCCGGCGTGCGCAAAAAGCAGCAGGTCGAATATCTCAAGATGCCGATAACCATGTCTTGGGCAGGCTCGGTGGGCGCACCCTCAAAAAACATGATACTAACTTTGAAGAATGAAACGGCCCAGGGACACACATACACACACATATAACTACACAGAAATCCCGGGATGCCCATATGTTTTTCATATTTCCTGGGTTTTCTTCTTTTCCCCCCACTTCCCATATTTCCCCCTATTTCGCGGGAGTCGACGATTCATGGTGCCTGTGTGTGTTCCTCCTCTCCTGAGAGACAGCGAAGGCAGAACGGACAACGCGGAGCCCCCTGGAAGTCCCACCACGGTAGTTTGGGAGACGTCGAGAGGAGGAGGAGGGCAGACGCTGAGCTGCGACGCTGAACTGAGCGGCGCGCCCCCGCTCCGCGCAGGGCGTGTTCGGCCTCTGGGGGCCCCCGCCTTGGCTCTGGGGCCGCCGGCCCCGGGGAAGGCATCCGCAGCCTTCTGGGTGTCCACCTCGCGGACAATCGCGACGCCGGGGGGGCTGGGAACGGGTCTTGAAGCACACGGGTCCTGGGCCCCCTGGGGGAAGCAGAGGAACGCCGAGGGGAAGCGGCGCAAGAATCTGATTGCCCTCCTTCAGGTGCGCAGTCACGTCGTGAAAGTCGAGCCAGCACATGGCGGAATCTGGAAACCCTGAACCCAGATACGTTGTCTCTCGTGCGAGGTCGACTTTTGCTTCCGCCGCCTTTCGCCGAGTTTCCGCCGGCGGAGGCGGCCTCGTTTTACTTCCGCCGTTCTCCGCCGACCTTCCGCCGCGGAAGAGATGGCAACTGACTCCTTCGACCCGAAGGTAAAACCTTTTCTCTAGAATGCCCCACATAAAAGCGATGGGGTAAGTTCCACCTGGACTGTGGGCTCTTCCTGCAGGGCCATTTTCCCGTCCCTGCTCGTTCTTTGAAGGCCTCCTGGGGCCCCTGCGGACCCCGGGAGGCTGGACCGAAAGGTGACAAGTTTCCAAGTTTCCATGGCCCCTCCAAGTTTCCATGCCCCCTCCCCTCCAGAGAAGACGAAGCCAGGACGAGGATAACATCGGGTGAAAGATACATCGAGAATCTCTGAGATCGGGCGGCTCTGGAGGATGTCTCGGGCGCCGCGGCGGCCTTTTCAGAGCGTTCCGGAAGGCTGTGAGAGCGTTCCATAACGCTCTGGAGCGGATTTATCCTCATCCTAGCCCCGTCTGGTCCAAGGAGCCCCCGTTCACTCATGGCGGTTTGGGCCAGGGGTCAGACGTTGATGCCAGGACCGTTCCTTGGGGGAACTCTGACCAGAAGTCTTCGAGGGGAGCCCGGCCGAGGCGACGAGATGCCTCCTGGGAGGCCCCCAAACAAACATCGAAGGACACCCAAAAAGCCTCGAGCCTCGACTTCTGCACGCTGGCAGCGAGGGGGAAGCCGACACCCAGGTGTCCCGAATGCTGGCATCGAGAAGAACGAACGCCCAACATCCTCGAGCCTCAACTCCTGCGTGGTGGCAGCGAAGAGGCAGGGCGCCCAAACGCCGACTGCTGTAAGGTAGCAGTAAGGGGGAGGTCACCGATCAGAAAGGCCATGAGGACAACGCAAAGGCGATGAGGCCAACGCGGACGCTGATCTTGTTTCTTGTGCCAAGCGCAGGCAGCCTTCGCAATCTGGTGGCCCTCCAGCCTGAATGGCACTACGCAGTAGCTCGCGGTCGCAACTCGTCGCCGTCGTCGCTCGCTAGCGGTCGTCGTCGTCGTCGTCGCCCTCGTCGCCCTGGTCGTCGTCGTCGCCGCCGCCGTCGTCATCGGCGTCGTCGTCGTCGTCGCTGTCGTCGTTGTCGCCGCCGCCGCCGCCGCCGTCGTCGTCGTCGTCGCCGTCGTCGTCGTCGTCGTTATCGCTGCGGCCGCCGCCGCCACGGACGACCTCTTTCCCCCGAGCAGGACGAGGGGCCCCAAGCTTGTTTCAGAAACACCACATGCGCACCCAGGTAGACGTGGGTCTCGGCCACCTGGCACGCACGCGCACATCCCAGGCCCACCCTCCCAGGCGCGTCGGCGCGGGCTCTCCACTACCATTGCGTTCGAGCGAACAACCGAGCCATGACGCCGCTTCGCGCGGGTCCCGACAAAGATGACAAATCGTCGCCAACCCAGGGCCGAATGAACACCGACACGTTCACCACAAAAGCGGTGTAGTGATTTGAAAACTCACACATCAAAAAAACACAACGTCGCCGACACCGGCCCAGATGAAGGCATGCCGTCGTTGTCAAACCCGGGCCAGATGGTGTATGAGTTTGCTTGTACGCGCGAACTGGTGTGGATGTGGGGGGTAAGCTTGCTTATCCTTTTCATGTTCTGCTCCAAACTTGCACAGCGTTCCTTGAACGTGGCAACAACCTTTGCGGTTCATTCCATGTTGGAGTTGTCGGCATGCGTACATGTATATGCACATACACATGTATGTAGGGGTGTACATACGAATGTGAATGGCTTCCTTTTGCCACACATCTGCTGTAGAGAACAGATGCTTGCGTGTATGTGTGTAAGCATATCGAGATGCATTCTCTTTGTACGCATATGTGCATATGAAATCAAAAACCTTACGTGCATGTGCAGCCGTCTGCATGTGTACGCATGTTGGCGAACATGCTCTTGCCATGCCAATCGGCGCGCCACTGAATCTGCGGCAGACAGGCTACAGACGAAGCCTGCGGGGGCCATCTCGCTGCCCTGCGACCCTAACAAAGGGGGCAGGCGGACACGCGGCCCGATGTCGGGGCGCCAGAATGCCGCTGCCCAATGGCTGGCGACATGCCGCAACCAGACGGGATGTGCTAAACTGCCCGGGAGGACGAGACGTCGGGTGTTACTGGGTGTGGTCCTGGAGAGAGATCTGTGTATACATATAGAAAGGGAGACAGAGAGAGAGAGAGAGAGAGAGAGAAAGAGAGAGAGAGAGAACGAGAGAGAGAGAGAGAGGGAGAGAAACCGATAACAGACAAAAACATGCACAGAACAGGAGAAGAAAGAAAGAGAGAAAGAGAGAGAGAGAGAGAGACAGAAATCGAGAGAGAGAGAGAGCGAGAGAGAGAGAGAGAACAACAAACAACAAACACACATAACAAAGAGCGTAACAGTAGATGGGGGACAACAAATGGAAAGAGAGGGAGAAAACGATAGAGAACAATATAGCGATAGAGAGAGAGAGAGAGAGAGCGAGCGAGAGTGAGAGGGGGGCATAATAAATAAATGCAGATACTACGAAGTGACACGTGGGAGAACACGTGACGAGATAAGGTCGCAACTTCCTTGAAAAAGAACTCGCTGGTGACAGAGACAAGTGAGTGAGCAGCCTGGGGAGATTACAGCACAATGGCAAACACGATGTACCTCGATGGAGGACGGCGCGTCCCTGGCCATGCGCTCCATAGACTCCAACGCGCGAAAAAAAAGAACAGCACCACCTGTACAAGGCCTGCGTCCCCAGCGGTCGCATGATCGACCTTGCTGGTAATACGATGTCCCGATGCGGAATGGTCATCGACACAATCAATACACATCCGCATTTACGCTCAGATTTCTGAACTGCCTGTCTGCCATTGTTTCCAGGCTCCTGATCCTTCCGCTCCCTGCCGCAGCCCCTCGGGTCTCCCATCTCCCTGCTCTCGCCATGCAGTCGATATATCTTGGAGCACACACGTCGCAATCGCCTGGTTCCCCGCCGCCACGATCAGCAGTCAAACTCGCACAATGGACGAGCTCGGAGAGGCAAGGCTACGCGCGAATGGTATGAGGTTTAGAGTGGGCCACGCGCAGCTCGCCGGGCACAGTCACGAGAGCCCCGCTGCGCCCAGGCTTAAGGAGCGAAGCGATGTGCTGAGCCAAGCCAGACTGAGAAGCATCCGCCAGAGCTAAACGTTGAAGGGAAACGAAGCGAAGCGCGACGACACGAGAGCGAATCAAGGCTGAGTATTGTGAGCTCAGCCACGCTGGGTTGAGCCAGTCGACGCTAGGGCAAGCTAGAATGGCCAGGCTGATCAGATAAGCAACCAAATCCCAGAGGAGATGAACTCAGCGTGCCGCCATAATAAACACAACTGCACGAAACACCCATCAAACTTACCGACCTGTCAACCTAGAAACAACCGTGAATCCCTACGCACCGCCAGTCCGAATCAACTGTCCGCGAATTGGCACGCACTTCTAGAAGAAAGCTCCAACACGTCAGCCTGCGCGTGCACGTGCACTTGGTTATAACAAACATCATGAGAAGCGTTGGGAGCTGGCAGACCCCTAGCCGTCACACTCGGCTTAACCGCATGCGTACTGCCACCAGCAATGCTCAGAAGAGAAGGCAGAAACGAAGAAACACGCGCCACACACAACACCTCAATCCTCTAAGTACTTGCAAGCCGACCCTCTCGGGAAAGCGTGAACACACGTAGCTCGCTTCCTGGCAACGGGACGCTGCACGTGCATGCTGTGCTGCCTGTTGGTCGTATGGCCCTGCACAGCAAACGTTCCACTGGCGAAGGACCCATGACTATGCAGTTGTGAGTACCGCACTTGTGAATCTCGCCTTCAATGGACCTCCCTGTGGGGCCACGAAGCGTGTGAGAGGTGCGCCTGCATTTGCCTGGGGGTGCATGCGGGCCCTGCCACTAGGGCCTTCGGTGAAATCCCGTCTGGGCCCTGGGAGCGTGTCAGGAGTGTGCCAGGACTGGCCTTGGGGACGCGTGCGGGCGCTCTAGATCTCTCGATGAGGCCACGAAGCGTGCGAGGGGTGTGCCGACATGGGCCTGGGGACGCATGCGAACTGTGCCACTGGGCCTTGATTGGAGCTCCCTATGGGGCAACGGAGCGTGTGAGAGGTTCGCCGAATGGGCCTGGGAACACATGCGAGCTGTGCCACTGGGCCTTGGTTGGAGCTCCTTATGGGGCAACGAAGCGTGTGAGAGGTTCGCCGAATGGGCCTGGGAACACATGCGAGCTGTGCCACTGGGCCTTGGTTGGAGCTCCCTATGGGGCCACGAAGCATTTGAGGGGTGTGCCGAATGGGCCTGGGAACGCATGCAAGCTGTGTCACTTGGCCTTAGTTGGGGCTACGTATTGGGCCACGAAGCGTGTGAGGGGTGTGCCGACATGGGCCTGGGGGCACATGCGAGCTGTGCCACGGGCCTTGGTTGGAGCTCCCTTTGGGGCCCACGAAGCGTGTGAGGAGTGCGTCGAATGGGCCTTGGCATGCATGCAAGCTGCGCCACTGGGCCTTAGTTGGAGCTCCCTATGGGGTCGCGTGAGGGGTGTACCGAAGTGGGCCTGGAAACGAATGTGAGCTGTGCCACTGGGCCTTGCTTGGAGTTTCCTATGGAGCCACGAAGCGTGTGAGGGGTGCGCCGAAATGGCTGGGGGACTGCATGTGGTCCTCCCCCCTCTGGGGCCTTCGTTGGAGCTCTCCATGGAGCAACGAAGCGTGTGAGGGGCGTGCCGACATGCACATGCGGAGGGATGGGAGGAATGAGGAAGGAAGTGGGAAGTAGGTGACGCGGGGCACTGTCTCTTCAAAACGGCGGCCCAACTCCACGGTATGGTTGGGAGCATCTGATCACTTGGACATCCCCTCGCGCGTATGCATGGTTAGCCCCATTTGTCCTGGGAGGGTCACGTCGGTGCGATCCGCATCTGGCGTTTTGGGTGCCTCCCTCGTAAACCCCACTCTTTTCCCTCGACAGCACCTCCTTGTCCAAAAGCGTCCCAGAGCAACCCAACACGACCCAACAAACTTCTTAGTCGACTGGTGTGCCGAGTCCTGGAGACGGGTGCTGGACCTCGGGAGGAAACAATGGGGGCGCGCACATAATCGAGAACACGGATGGCGCACGGGGAAGGGCGGACGTAATCAACGAATCCATGCGTCGGGTCCGGGTCGTCCCAGAAGGTCCAGCGTGATATGAAGTCCGCCCCCACGTAGGAATCGCTCCTAGGCGGGCAACTTGCAGAGAACATGTCACGTACCCCCTCCGCCTTCTCCGCATCCTCTCCCTCTCTCTCTTTCTCGTAGTTTATGCGGCACAACTTTCTGGTGACGATGAATGGAGGAGGAGGAGAGGAGGAGGAGAAGGAGGAGGAGGAGGCGAGGAGCAGGAGGAGGAGGAGGAGGAAAAAGGAGAAGGAGGAGGAGGAGAGGGAGGAGGGGGAGGAGAGCAGGAGGAGGAGAGGAGGATGAGGACGAGGAGGAACGAGGAACGAAGAACGAAGAACGACGAGGAGGAGGAGATGAAGGAGGGGAAGGATGATGAGGAGGAGGGGGAATGGTTTGGACTGGAGGGTGCTCCACAGCAAATGCGAGGTAGCTCAGTCGCCCCTGGGAGCGCGAAGGTCATCGCGCTGCGCGCACTGCGGCCGGCGCCAGAGAGGCGCCCCTCCCCAGGGCTCACGGCGACAGGGCGCGAAGATAGCCGTTGCCGCTCCGCGAGGCTTTGCGTGGAATGCCCTCGCGTCCTCTGCAGTCCTTTGCATTGAATAGGGGGAACTTTTGATGGGCCTGTTTTCCACCACCACCACCATAAGCTGGATGGAGAGGGGGGCCTCCTCCTCCTCCTCCTCCTCCTCCTCCTCCTCCTCCTCCTCCTCCTCCTCCTCCTCCTCCTCCTCCTCCTCCTACTGCGACACTGCGACACTCAAACGTCCTGCCCGACATGCTCCTGCCAACACAGAACAAAGAAATAGAAGCCCGCCTTCGCCCCCAGGGTCAACACCAGCTTCCTTTGAGAGCTAGGAGGAGCCTGGAGGGAGGAGGGGTGAGAACCTGCGGGGACGAAGGGAGAGCTTGGATGGGCCAGGGCTGGGAGATCCATTGACCTGCCCCCCCTGGAATGGCCCCTCTCCACAGCTTCTGCAAATCCTTCTGAGATGTGCTGGACGGGTGGCACGGTCCGTTGAGCTTGATGGCTCTCGCCGTGGCCATGTGTCCACACCTCCCGCAGAAAACAACAATAATTCCCGACTTCTCATGCTGCCCAACCCACAACTTATGTGGGAACTCTGGCTGGGCCGCTCGAAGGGTGAGGGCCGAAAGTGTCGGGGTGAATCCAAAACACTTTGAATTCCTAAGTAGCCTGGCTCCGGCCCTGTGGCATGTCTGGCACTTCCACTGAAATCCGCCCCAGACAGGAGCATGGGGACGGGGAAGGGGCGGAATCACTCGAGCCTTCTGAATCCTGGCGAAGTTCCCATATAAAGGCTTGAGCGGTGGCCAGTGCACAAGGATCTGGAGCATATTCAAGGCTACCTGCTTATACGATTTACGAGCACAAGTAAAACTCTCAAGATCAGCTGCGCACTGGTTGTTGCGTTGCGCAGCTATCTTCGCATGATGGTCGGCCCAAGTGTTGACCCGAATGTGCACGAGTTCGGAGGCACTGGTGGCCTCCTCCTCCTTCCTGTGTGCTTTCACTTTGGCAACTACAAAACTGGGCTTCCCTGAAATCCGCCAATACCCCGCATGGGGTGCATTGTGGCTCTTAGCTGCTTCGAAGTTCGACGCACCCCAAACAACAGCCTGACAGTCTGCATGCAGGACGGTGCCAAGGGACGCAACTACGAGTTGGGGGCTCTGCTCTGGTGACGGCTCTAGGTGCCTCTCGAACATGCAGGCAGCGCGATGCTCCGCAGCCGCCGCCGTTTGGGGAATCCCATCGGGCACGGGGCCAGAGATCCCCCACAAAAGGTCCCCTTCCTCAGAGTCCGCCACGACGGCCCATCCAGCACGGGCCACCCCAGGGATGGTCCCATCGTAGCAGCTCCCATCACTGTAATGGCTATCCGTCCTGCGAAACAAAAACGGGTCACATGGCCCGTTGCGATCAAAGAAATGGACTTCTGGCTCTTCAATGGGCTTGCTGGAGAGGGGAGGGGAGGGCATCCAAAGGGAGGAGAAAAGGGGATCTCCTGGCCCACACTGAAGCGCCATAGCCCTGATCTCCTCATCCTGCCCTTGCCGTTCAGCCTCCAGCCAAGGGCAGGTGAAGGCGCGATGGAAAATGTGGCCGGGCTCCCCACAGTGTGGACACCGACCATCGGTGCCGTATCCCGACTGCTGCAGTGTTATACCTGTGGGGTATCGTCCCGTGAAAACTTGCTCCAACCGCCTCCTATAATGTTTCGGAAATTTCTTGCTGGTCAAAAGGCGCCTCGGCCCAATGGCCGACAACCCGCGGCCCCTGATCTCCTGGGCCCTCGGGGACATGGACCCTCCAAGCGCCCTATCAACTACTGGCTGCAAACAACGTTTCCTCACATCGGAAATAAAATGCTTGGCAACTTGCTGCGGCGGGGTGGCTGTCAGATGATGATGGGCCCCATCCGGTCCTACAACTACTGCTGGATTGCTAGCCTCCCAGCCAGCCTCCCTCATCCACAAGTGCATATCATAAATAGGCCCACTCGCCTTCCTGAGCCACGGCGAAGCCTGTGGAAGATCCTTCAGGTGAGACAGGGAAACCTCAAAGGCATTTTTCAGTTCTCTGGCTCCAAGACCGCCCCCCTGGATAAGCTCAGGATCCGTGGCCTGCCACCGCTCTTGAGCATATCTCTTGAGGGTTTCCGCAGCGCGGGCTAAGGGGCCCTTGTCAGGGTAGAGTGCCCACCCAACATCCAAAGCGACTCCGAGGAACCCTAGGGCTCTCGCTCCAGATCGCCTGAGGAAGTGGATCTCCTTCGGGGTATGCCCAAGAACTTCCCCTCCATACTGCGCTGACGCCTGGATCCCTGAGAAGTGCACGCGTGCCTTCGAATGCCTGGCCCCCTTCATTCTCATGAGCTTCTGGGCCCTGGGGCTGACAGTGGCAAAACGTTTGCGCCTATTGCGACCGTGCCCAGGTTGTTGGCGATGTTTACCTGGGGCAAAGTCCACGCCAATATTTTTTGGCGCCACTTCGCACTTACCTGCCAGCTCACCAAGGCATGTCTTGAATGCCTCCACCAGGACCTGGGATGATCCAGGCACCGTGAGCTTGTCCATGGCCAGCGGGGCCCCCATCAGCTCATGGATGAGCTGCGCAGGGACCGATGCCCTGTCATACATCATCCTGGCACAGTCGAAGAAGTGCGATGATACCGTATTGGTCCCGGAATCGTCAATGTGCACTGTGAGTGTCGCTAACCCAGTCCCTGGTGGTATTGCTGCCGTCGTCGGCTCGAGCCGCGCATCCACTGTTGGTAATGTGTGCACTTTAGCCTCAAAAGTAGCCGTCCCTGCGCCAGCAATGGCCCCCGAATGTGGGAAAACTGCGTCGGACACCAGCCCTTCTAGGGCTAATCTCCGCGGCCACTTGTACGAGTTGAGGCTGTATTGGATGGCTGCAACAGGATATCCGACCTCTTGTGCCACTGTCCACAGTCGATGGTGTGAAACGTGCTCATAGAATTGTCTCGAATCCCATAATACTGAAAGGATGTGAAACCCATCTCTGGCTAGGGCTTCTCCTCGTACAGCTTGTCTCCAAACAGCGTCCAGAGGGCCCCTGCCCGGGCCCATGCTGAAGCATGGGTGGTCAAGGATGTCCATCTCCCACTGGCGTGCCTGATGTGCAACAGTCTTGCCATGTAAACTGGCCGTGCTAGTAAAGAATCCAATGGGGCGACGGCCTCTAATGGGTTTCCTGAACAGACGAATGATGACCTGCTGGAGATTTGTCGGTGCATTCGCGACCATGTCCATCAATGTGAAGACTCCACCCAGCGTCTCCAAGGCTTCATCACATAGCATGGCAAAGTGTCGTGGATGAAATCCATCTAGTGCGATGGTCCTCTCCTTGAATCTGGTCGATATCCTGCGTGCGAGTCGTCACGCGCACCGAGGGCGCACCAAAGCAAGGCCTTCAAAGTCTGGGCTCCTTTCCCAAATGGCATGCCAGGCCTGCTTCCACACTTCCCCCTGCTGCGTCAAAATAGCTTCCATGGATGCGGACGTCGATCCATCGCTCCTGATGTAGATTCCCTCCTGATAGTTGGGCTTGGCTTTGCTGTAGCTGTGGGCCTTACTTGCCCCTGAAGAGAGGGCCTCCTCGCACCAGAGTCGCCAATCTTCTCGTCCACGTCTGTTGGTCTCACGAACTTCCATTCTCTCCACAATGCAAAGGAGCTCAATCCATGCAGAAAGCTCAACATCAAACTGCGGGCCGGGGTTCGCAAAATCTGTGCCAAACTTCGCAAGCAAAAACTGGAGTATAACAACCCAAGGTGCAGAGTACGGAGAGGCCCCCCACGGTGCAGGCGTCTTCGAGTACTAGCCATCAGACTCCAATAATATTCAGATTCGTTGCCCAAGACAGCCTTCCTATGATGGTGCCTCAATTCCTGGATGCGGTCCCTGATCCCGTGGGAGGCTACAGCAGGCAACTTCTTCACGCCCTCCCTGGTAGCAAGGCTTTGCCTAAGGGGTCTACTCTTGACCTGAGCGCAGGCCCCCCCAGGACGAGCTTTGGGGTGGGGTTCAGACTGAGTGACCCGCTGTAGCTCTCTCCAAGCTTCCGCAACCCAGTCCTGATACAACTCGCCGAGGAGTGCTTGGCCCTCTGCTCTGCGGGCCCCAGTAAGTGTGTAGAGACATCCACTGGTTCTTTGTGCCTCCAGAAACTCATCAACTCTCTCACCAAGCTCATGATAATCAGGGGGCTCTCGTGCTGGACCCATGGCTGGCTTCGTGGGGACCGTGGCGTGCTTTGTCCAGATCTGAACCTGGACATCCTTGACAGCGCGGGAGAGGGTGAACCTGACAGGTCTGTGGGGTCCCGGTGCCAACACATTATCCGTCTCCGCCGACGCGTCCGAGGCCACCGAGTCCAGGGAAAGGCTGAGGAGGTAGAAATCGAGGTTGATCGAGCTCTCCCCTCCATCGAATACATGAGAATTGACCGCTGGATCGAAACGAAACCCTCCGTGAATCTTGGTCAAGGGGACCCCCGCACGTAATTCACC